ATGTGTGAATTTTAATGCAGCTAAAAAAAAAATACCTGACTTACTGCAATGAAAACACGAAGAAAAAAAATTGTGTAATGGAACATTGATTAAAAAGAAAAAAAGACTGGGTATTAGGCTTAAGTCCCAGGTCTGTTCGTCATCATGGACAGGAGTGAGATGTCAACAGAAGTCAGTATTAATTCCTCACAGACACAGCATATGAAGAAGCCCCAGGGGAATATTAGGTAAAGTAGAAAGATAAATCCATAAAAGTGAGTGAAATAAAATTAAAACTTTCCCCAAAATGATTCATTTGTTTTCAAAACCAGGGATAATCAGAATTACTTGGAAGCAAACTATTATGATTAAGACCAATGTCTGAAAGTCCAACAAACCATAATTTGAGTCAGGTTGTGCTGTACAGTGGTGGCTGGCATCCGGAGCCTGTAATAATAAGTTTTCTCATGTTCTAAATTGACATGAGGTAAGCTGAGTTGTGTGGATAAATTGTTACTAAATTCATATAAATAATTCCAGACCTACTGTAAAGAAAATATAAAATCTGCTATAGAACCTATAGATAGATATGGATATATAGATACAGATAAGCTTACAGATGAAAGGGAACTGCAGTAGGCAGATTTTTGGAACCTATTATCTTTTGCCTCCTGGTGTTACTCCCATGAATATATTAGGTTACATGGTAATGAGACTTTGCATATGTAAGTAAAATTACTAATCAACTGACCTTCAAATAAGGAGATTTTCCTAGATTGTCTGGGTGGGCCTATTCTAATCTCATGAACCCTTAGAAGCAGATAACTTTGGCTGGTGGTAAAAGAGGAAAAAAGAGAGAGTCAAAGCATGAGAGAAGCACTCAACCCACTGTTGCTAATTTGAACATCAAGGAGATCACATGGAAACCATGGGCAGGAAACAAATCCTACAAAACAAAAGCAATGATCCTGGAAGAGCACCCAGGGCCCCAGATGAAAACTGCCATCCTAGCCAATACCTTGATTTTTGGTCTCGTGAGACCCTATGCAGAAGACCTAGTTGAGCCCTCGAACTTGTGATCTACAGAGACTGTGAAAGATGTGTTGTTTTAAGCTGCTAAGTTTATGGTAATTTTTTTTACAGCAATGATAGAAAACAAATACAGGGACAGACACGCAAGAAGAAAGAAGTGAGACAGAAGAATTTAGAGCAAGTCAGCAAATGCTCACTGTTCTGACTGTGAGATGGGGTGGGATCAATGTGGATAAGGAAACGACTTCATTTTCTGTGGCTTCATTGATTAATTTTATACATTAGGTATAATGAAGTTAAGGTATAATTCATATATGATGCTTCACCATAAAATTATTCAGGTGTGAACTGGGTGAGCTACAGCAACTACAGAAAACAGATCATTTATACCATATCTATTTGACATTAAAAACACTTTTATGGGGCTTCCCTGGTGGCGCAGTGGTTGGGGGTCCGCCTGCCGATGCAGGGGACGCGGGTTTGTGCCCCGGTCCGGGAAGATCCCACATGCCGCGGAGCGGCTGGGCCCGTGAGCCATGGCCGCTGAGCCTGCGCGTCCGAAGCCTGTGCTCCGCAAAGGGAGAGGCCACAACAGTGAGAAGCCCATGTACTGCAAAAACAAAACAAAACAAAACAAAAACAAAAACTTTTGCTTTCAGCCCATATTTTTTTGGCCACTGTATGAGTTTTGTACTTTGCTATAAACTCCTGTACCAATCACTGAACACTGAGACTTTTGTCATGGGAAGGGTGTTCCCAGTACCTGGGACTTTCAGTGCTAAAAGCAAGACAATCTGGTCAAATCAAAGCAATCGGTTACTCTTCCCACCCGGTTCCCCATTTTCCAAAACAACTATTCCTGGAAGTGCAGGCCAGAGAGGATAGGGTGGAATCAACAGAGATCAGAGCTTCAGGCTGCTCAGGCCATTGTGTGCAGACCTCCCATAAAATGGGATATGCACAGAGAAGCAGCCACAGAAATCTGTATGGGTTCCCCTGGCTTTTTTTTTTTTTTTTTTTTTTTTTTGGCCACTCTGCTTGCGGGATCTTAGTTCTACGACCAGGGATCAAACCCATGCCCCTACACTGGAAGCACAGAGTCCTAACCACTGGACCGCCAGGGAATTCCCTGGACAAGATTCTGTAAGGCCTGGTGAGAACGGTTGCTGGGGGCTGAGCACTGAATGGGGTTGCAGAGGTCTACAGTGTGAGATTCATTTGAATCCTGAGCAGCCAGAGGGGAGAGACCTCCTCCCTGAACACCCTGGGTGTTCAGTGGAGACTCCAGAGAGACCACACCTTAGAAGTAACCCTGTGCCCCAGCATGCATGCCCCTTCTCCAGAGGGCCGGTGGCTGCTGGTAGAGGGGTTCAGAGGAACTTGTCACAGGCATAGCTGACCCACAGCAGATGGAAACTTTCTTTTCAACTCGTTTTAAAGTTCTTTTTAACTTTCCCTGTCAGTTCTTGTAGCTAATCAGTCTCCTGCTAGTAGGGAGAACCGACAGGCCCCTGAGAGGATGCTTAGTCCTCTCAAGGGCGCTTTCCCAGGGTAGGAAACCAGCCTAAGTCCCTGGCTCCTCTCAGCACCTGGTCTCAGAAGCTGAGTCCCCACCACTCAGTTGGTCAGGAGCTGCGTCCCGCTTTCCGCCCAGGGGACTAAGTCTTGACCTTTGGCTCCAGAGGTTGCCTCCACTTCTCCCTCCACAGGCCGAGTGCTCCGTGCTGGCTCCTAGGCCGAGTCCCAACCTTGACCAGCAGCCGCCAGGAGGCGCCCGAGGAGGGGCCAGGCTGCCAGCAGCAGCCATCCTGACTTGTGACTTCTCCTTAACCCCAGAGTGTCTGATTCAGTAGTTCTGGGTTCACAAATGAGAAGTTTCACTTCTAAAGAGTTCCCATGTGATGCGGTTGCTTCTGGTTCAAAGATCAAACTCAGAGAAGCAGTGTTCCAGGAAAGGCAATGCTGCATGCTGTGCCAGGCCCCAGTCCACAGGGCTGGAGGTTTGCTCACTCCAAGGGGCAGACCCCAGCGTTCTCACCGACATTCCTGAAGGTCTCTGCAGTGTGTAAAACAGAGAAATGGCCACCTGGGGGTCCTAGTCCCTCCACTGCTAAGGGATCCTGTGAGGAAGCCCCAGGATGCAGGTGATCAAAAATCCCAGCCAAGCTCCACCCACAGAAGGCCCCAAGCCACTTGTTTCTTCTGCCTGGAACTTAAAAAGAAAACAAAAAACCCTACATGGCTCATTCCTCACCTCCTTCTAGTGTTTACTCAATTATCCTCTTACTAAAGAGACCTCCCTTACTGCACTGTGTAATATTACAGCCTATCTCCCTACTTCTCAGCACACAATCACTCCTATCCATTCTACCTACTACATTCTACTTATTATATAATTTATTATTTCTTCTTTCATGTTGCCTGTCTTCCTTGAAAATAATATAAGCCCCGTGAAGGCAGGAGGTTTTGTCTCAATTGTTTCATGATGTCTCCCATGCGCCTAGAACAGATGTTCACTGAACATTTGTTAGAGCAGTGAATGAACATGCCACCATAGATCCCTGTTCATTTTCACCATTTTGGTAACTCTACATGTCCTCTTCAGTTTTCCCTCTAAGCTGGAAGGGAATGCTCAGTATTTTCAAGAATGAAAAAGAATCACATTTGGAGATAACATCCTATCCTAGGTGTGGAACATCCTAGATAACAGCTAGGTGTGGAAGCACTTTGGGTCTCAGTGACACCATGGAATGATAATTCCATTTGGATTTGTAGCCTTTGGAGCATTGGAAATAATACGTTTAGCCTCTAGGAGCATGCTGAGCTTGATGGACTATGAAATAATATGTATCGACACTTTGGCGTTGGCTCGATTGCTGACAACACTGCCCAGAAATCCGGATGCCTTCCCTTTGAGAGAAAGCAAAGCACCTTTTCTCTGGCTTGCAGGGGATGAGGCATGTGCCCTTTACCTCATTAGGAGCTGTGACTATATTACCCAGAGTGCTCTGCGCAGAGTGGCAGCAGCGCTGATCCAATGAAGGCACAGGAGAGGGACAATCCGTGCTTGGCGTGAAAGATAGGGGCGGGACTTCCGGTCTCACTTGGTGGCGGTCATTTTGACTGGCTTCAGTCAGGTTTACTTGATCCGTAGCTCCCGGTCGCTGGGTCGGGTTGGAGGCAACGGGAGGCTGAAAGGTCGAGAGAAAGTGTTGTCCTCGCTGCAAAGAGGTGAATCTGAGACTCGGAGGGGGACTGCACGTTGGGGCTGGGCTGTAAGTGGTGGTGTTGGAGTCCCCACCCTGGTCACCCGTCACTCCCGTCACTGTCCGCCCACAGGCTCAGTTCTCAGAAGCCTCACTGATGGACCTGACACAAGTTGGTGCTGAGACCTTCAGGCCTTCACCCGAACCACCCCCACTTTTGAATCCTAAAGCCCCCAAAATTGGGAGCCTGTTCAGATCACTGAAGCCTAGGCCCGAGCATCCAGCACCTGCAGGGGTGTGAGAGGGGTCCCTTGTGGGTGATGTCCCCGTTTCTGAAAGTCAGTGTGATGAGGTGTGGGAGTGTTACAAGCAGAGGGATCAGCATGTGCAAAGGCTTGGAGGGGCTACTGGTCCAGGACTGTTGGGGAAACCTGGACTTCATGTGTCTGTACAGAACAGAGTGTGAAGGGGAGTCACTCCTGGAATGGCAGGTGGAGGAGGTGTACCTAGGTTCTTACGGTGCTTAGAACCATGGAGGCTTGTGAACAAAGGAGGACCATGGTCTGAGTTAGGGTTTTTAAAGTTTCCCCCAAACTGGAAAAGGGGTGATGAGGACAGTGAGTCACAGGAAGTGTGAGTCCTTCTCCAAAGTCACACAGCTGGTAAGAGGCATTACTGAAGGCCAGGGTACAGTAAGCCCAAGGTCACTTGGTCACTCCAAGGCCTCAGTCCATGGAGCCCTTCCATGGTGGCTTGCTTCTCACAGCTTCCCTCTTCCCACAGGTTCCATGGCCCCAGAAGTGCTTAAGGACCCTACACAGGTGAGTGGGCTCTCACCAGTCCCAACCTCCTCACACACACATGTTCTCTGGGATTGTGATGCTCTAGGACTCAGACTGCCACTCTCCTAGCCCTTTGGCCTGGGGACTCTTGAGAAACGCCAAACCCTAGGCCAGAGTTTATATGAAATAATTCCTGTGTCTGGCAACCACGGGAATGAGGTGTGGTAGTTTATCCCAGGCACAGGTAGCAGCATGTCCAAGTGCTTGAAGGTGAGGCTGAGCTGGGAGTGTTCGGTGTTTCTCTTTCCTTTGTGGCAGTCAGGAGAGGAAAAGTCAGGCCTGGAATGGTAGCCTGAGAAGTTGGATGTTTTCCTGGAGGGATGGGAGCAATGGGATGAGAACAATGAGGTTATGTGACTCAGGTCTTAGCAGGCTCTCTCTGGCTGCAGAGTGGAGAACAGATTTGAGGGAGTGAGGGAGGAAGCATGAAGACCAGGGATGAGGCTACTACAATAGTCCAGATGAGTATTGGTGGTGACTGGACAGTGTGGTGGCCGTGGAAGTGGGAGAAGTGTTTGGATTCTGGATCTGTTTTTGTGTATGGCTGACTGGATTTTCTAATGTTGAGGGTGAGAGAGAAAAAGGTAGGAGTCAGGGATTACCCTGAGGTTTTGGAAGGAAGAAAGGAAGGTTGGCGATAATTTTCAATGGGACTATTTGGAGTTTGGGGTTTTTTTAGCCATGTTCAGAATCTGAGATGTTTCAGAGAATACTGCTTGAAGGCATCAAGTTGGCAGCTGGACATAAATGTCTGATACTCCAGGGAATGGTTTAGGGTGGAGACATCCAAATGGTGGTGGCTACTCTGTGTAACCAAGAGGAGGTGGAGGGAATTCCCTGGTGGCGCAGTGGTTAAGAATCCTCCTGCCAGACATGGAAGCAACCTAAGTGTCAATCAACAGATGAATGGATAAAGATGTGGCACATATATACAATGGAATATTACTCAGCCATAAAAAGAAACGAAATTGAGTTATTTGTAGTGAGGTGGATTGACCTAGAGACTGTCATACAGAGTGAAGTAAGTCAGAAAGAGAAAAACAAATACCGTATGCTGACACATATATACGGAATATTTTAAAAAATGGTTCTGAGGAACCTAGGGGCAGGACAGGAATAAAGATGCAGACGTAGAGAATGGATTTGAGAACATGGGGAGGGGGAAGGGTAAACTGGGACAAAGTGAGAGAGTAGCATGGACATGTATACACTACCAAACGTAAAATAGATAGCTAGTGGGAAGCAGCCGCATAGTGCAGGGAGATCAGCTTGGTGCTTTGTGACCACCTAGAGCGGTGGGATAGGGAGGGTGGGCGGGAGATGCAAGAGGGAGGGGACATGGAGATATATGTATATGTATAGCTGATTCACTTGGTTATACAGCAGAAACTAACACACCATTTAAAGCAATTATATTCCAATAAAGATGTTAAAAAAAAAAAAATCCGCCTGCCAATGCAGGGGACACGGGTTTGAGCCCTGTTCCGGGAAGATCCCACATGCTGCAGAGTACCTAAGCCCATGCACCACAACTACTGAGCCTGCGCTCTAGAGCTGTTGCTCTGCAACAAAGAGAAGCCACCGCAGTGAGAAGCCTGCACACTGCATCGAGGAGTAGCCCCAGCTCGCCGCAACTCGAAAAAGCCTGCACGCATCAACAAAGACCCAACACAGCCAAAAATTAATTAATTAATTTAAAAAAGAGGAGGTGGAGCTGTGGATCACACTTGGGAGGAGGAATCTTCAGGATATGGGGGTAATGCTATTAGCAGTCCAGGAAAGGGAAGGTGGCGCCCCAGGACTGTGTCTCTTGTTAGAGCACCTGGTTAGGGGTGGTATGCGTCACAAGCACAGTTGAGGGAGAGAACCGGCCATGAAAGGGGATTTGAGAAGAGGATGGTCTGGCAGGTGGTTAAGACTTCCAAGAGTAGAGTAGACACTGAGACGGATGCAGAGGCCTAGGTATAACTGAGGAAACATGAGGCTGAGGCTGATTCCTATTCACATATCTATGGACCTACCAGGATTTTTGGTGACACTGGAGTGTTTCAGTCAGGCTGGTGGATTTGCTCAGGGGAAAATGTGGTTGTCTGATAGAGTCACTAAGCTGGGGGAGGGGAGCCCTGAGGTTGGTCTCTGAATGAGGGTTAGGTTGAGAAAGGAGGGTTGTGACTAATAAGGGGACAGCAAGTGCAACACAGAAGTGGAAGAGGACCAGTGGGATCTGAAGTCTGCATATGGTTCTGAATGGCCGGGGGGTGACACAAGCAATAAACCAGGAAGTGAGGCTTTCATAGCAGGATTCAAGGCTGCCCTGGCAGCAGGAGCCATTGAGGGTCTGGAGTAGTACTGAATCCTGTTTGCATTTGCATAATCTTGATGCCATGAGGGAAGTAACACATGGGGAAGCCAGGGAGAGACTTATGGTCTCCCCACGTGCATGGGGCAGGGAGGTGGTGGTGGTGGCTGTGGGGTCTGGAGATACGGGAGAGGCACAGTTTAAAAACGATGTGCATGTGGAGAAGAAGTATGAATTGATGTCGCCAGGGTCCTGGTATTGGGGACTGAAGGATGAAGGTGGACCCAAGTTTGGGCCCAGGTGGTGCTTGGGAGGCACCATCTGGGAGACTTCCTGCATGGCAGGTCCAGATATTAATGGCATCCATGTGCCCACCTGCCTAATGTTGCCAAGGGCCAGACACAGTAATTAACGGGGCCATGAGGAGAGAGTAGGCACAAATGGCACCAGGGTCCGATACCTCATCTGAGTTGTGGAGCTGGAGAGAAGTGTGAGTGTGGGCTGGATATGTGGGGGTATGGATTGGAGGTCCTTGAGAGAGAGGCTGTTCATGGTTTCCTCTCTCCTCATCATGGCAGGGCAGTATAACCTTTGAGGACGTGGCAGTTTACTTCTCCTGGGAGGAATGGGCTCTCCTTAATGAGGCTCAGAAACTCCTATACTGCGATGTGATGCTGGAGAACTTTGCACTTATGGCCTCTGTAGGTAAGGCCCTCATACCTGCCCCAATACCTTTTCCTTTTCCCCAGGAACAGATTAGTCTTTCTCACATCAGGACCATGGGCACTGCTTTCTTCCCCAGTTCCCCGGGTAGGTGCTCTGGTTGCTAGGGCTGAGCTGTTTGTACTGTCCTTTTCCCACTTAGCCCCAATACCTGCTGCCCCAAAGCCTTGCAGGGAAGGAGTCAGGAGTCTTAAAGTTAGCCTTTGGGACCTCACCTTGCTTTCCCTTTCTCTGGCCAGGTGACGCCTCTGCCCTAGGGTCTACTCCTTTCCCCTAGCTGATGTATCCTTATATCTGCCTATGCTAGTAATCGCAGTCACTGATATGGTCGCTACTTTTGTGGCCCATGGGCTATTCTTTTTTTTAATATTTATTTTATTTATTTATTTGGTTGCACTGGGTCTTAGTTGCAGTAGGTGAACTCCTTAGTTGCGGTTCGCTGGCTCCTTTGTTGTGGCATGCGAACTTATAGTTGCAGCATGCATGTGGGATCTAGTTCCCTGACCAGGGATCGAACCCGGGCCCCCTGCACTGGGAGCGCAGAGTCTTAACCACTGCGCCACAAGGGAAGTCCCCCACGGGCTATTCTTGCAAGATCCTCCTCTGAGGGTTTTTTGGTAATGTTGAGTTTTCTTTCCTATGAGTTGCTCTGGCCAGTGCTGGCCACTCACCTGTCCAGTCTTCTCCTTAGAACTTACATCATCCAGGTATTATGCTCACCTGGGGATAGGGGAAGAGCTATGGGTGCTTCTTAGGGTGGGCATGATTCCAGCTCCACAAAATGGGCTCAGAGGGTCCCTGGCCCTATTGAGTAGCAGGTAAGAGGATGTGACATCAGGGCTGTGTTCACTTCATACCATAACTCCGTTCTGTTTCCATTACTATTTTGGTGCCAGTGGCCACACCTCATTTCTACCTTTCCTTCTTCATTCTTGACACTTTGCCAACTTGTCATTTCTACACTGACTCTCAGCCCAGGGTGAATCCTCAGTTCTCACAGTGGATTCCACATCTCACCCATTCTTCTCCACTGCTCCATCTCACAGTGTTCTCCGCCATTGCACCACACGTATTATGTTGTGAGACGTGCACATATCTTTAAGTAGTCTTTGAACAAGAGCTACTCGGATGCAATTGTGTTTTCTTGGGCCCATATACATCCTTCTGCACCGCACTCCTGTGTCATCAGCAGGCAAGTGCTGAAAACCATTCAGAGTGAGTTGTAGACCTGGCTCTCCTCTTCGTGCTGCACCCCGTCCTTTCTCCTTCGCTTGGTCCTTCGCTGTATCCTTCATTTCCCCCATGTTGTGACCTTTAGAGGACCATTACTGCACAGCAGCTACTTCTCAACCTGACTCTAATTCCCTCCTCCTGACAATAATCCTATGGACTCACGTATACTCGTTCATTAGTGTATCAGATGCACATTTGTGATTGGGGTTGCCCCTTCCCACTAGAGCCAACTGCACTTCACCTGTATTTCTTTGATTTCAGGTTATTGGCATGGAGTGGAAGATGAGGAGGCACCTTCTGGGCAGAGTGTTTCTGTAGAAAGAGTATCACAGGTCAGGACTCCCGAAGCAGGTTCCTTTCCCCAGAAAGCCCACCCCTGTGAGACATGTGTCTCTGTCTTGAAAGACATTTTGCACTTGGCTGAGGAAAGGGGCACACATCCCAGACAAAAACCATACACTTATGGATCATGTGGGAAACAATTCTTTCAGTGTAAACCTTCACCAGAAGCAGCACTGTAGAGAAAAACTTTCAGAAGTGGTGTGGCAGGGCCTCGTTTGTGAAGAGCTACACATTCCATGTGCCAAGGAATTCCTTCACCTGTAACAAAGTTGAGAAGTGCTTCCTGGTCAGTTTGGGCCTCTTGTAGCACCAGGCCACTTACAACAGAAGAAGCCACACAGCAGCACTCAGTGTGGAGTGGCTGTTCACAGTAGGAAAAATTATTAGAAGTGTGACAACTTCAGGAAAGCCTTCAACCACAAACACACGCCTGTTTAGCACCAGAGAGTCCACAATGGAAAAAGGACTTAGGCTTTCCACAAATGTGGGAAAGTCTTCAGCTTGCAAATACAGACCTTTTCTCACCAGTGAATTCACTGGAGAAAGGCCTTATTAATGAAATGAATATGGGAAATCCTTTAGCCAAAGCTCCAGCCTTATTGAACACCAGAGATTTCACACTGGAGAAAGACCTGAATGCAATGAGTAAGGGAGAGTCTCTAGGAAAGCTTCTGCCTCATTAAATATTGGATAGTTCACGTTAGAGGAAGGCCTTATGAATGTAAAGAATGTGGGGAATTCTTTAGCCAAAGCACCCACCTTACTCAGCACTGGAGATTGCACACTAGAAAAAGTCCTCATGAAATAGAGCAAATGTGGAAAAGCTTTCAGTTCAAGATCTGCTCTGATTTATCACTGAAAGCTTGTCTGAAGAGAAAACCAAAGGTCTGTCCTTGTTCAGCATGAGAAAATCCACAGTGGAGAAAGGTTTTACAAGTGCCGTGAATGTGGGAAAGCCTTTAGTCAAAGGTCTTCTCTGATTCAGCACCAAGTATTCAATCAGATAGGCTTTATGAGTACAGTGAATTAAGAAAATCTTCATCTAAAGGTCTAACCTCATTCAGCACCAGAAAAGTCCACACTACAGAAAGACCTTGTGAGTATTGTGAATGTAGGAAAGCCTTCAGCTGATAGTTTGACCTCATTAGGCAGCAAGAAATTCACAGAGAGGAGTCACCATACACATACAGGGAATATGCAATCTCCTTGTTCAATATAGTGACACTGGAGGAGAGCCTTTGTGAGGAAGACATCTGCCTGATGTTGAACCTTTTATAAATGAACATCCACAGTGAGGAGATTCTCCATAAGTTCCAAGTTTGTGGGAAGCTTTCAGGAGCTGTCTTGCACTTGCTAGCCTGTCCAGGTCCCTTGCCAGATATGTCACTGCAAGTTTCTGTTGTAGAAGCCATCTCACCTTTACACCTGGCAGGTCCCCACAGTGGCCAATTTCAAGATTCCAACATGATGTCACTGAACATGGAATGAGAAGAGAGGCACAGTAGCTCATCATTATATTTTTTTCCACCATACTGATAGAGTTGCCATAAATAAACCCAAGAACACAGATAACAGTAAAATGACTAGGAAGGACAAGTTTTGAGTATTTAGTACCTTTGGTTTTTTAACAACTTTATTGGGTATGATTCAGTTAAACTGCACATAGAGTGTACAGTTTGATGTTTTTGATATATGCTTACACTGAAACCAAAATATTTCCTTCTGCTCTTTTTAACCCATTCTTATTAACATAAAATTATTACTACAAGGATATAATCTCCCTTTTGCAATAGGTATTATATATATATATATAAAACTGGACAGGACTGTTATGACACCTCATGAACTATTCCCCAGTCTTCCATTATTTTTCATTGCATGGCCATTCTTGATTCACCTATCCCCATGCTTATTACTGAGTTATTTATAATCATACACATCATGTCATTTAATTCATAACCTCTTCATGATGTGTTTCTAAAATGTAAGGGCTTTATCACACAAAATAAAATACTTTAAAATCTTATAAGATGTGTTATCAGTACTCAGTTTTCTCAGTTGTTCCCAAAATATGTTTGTTTTTTAAGGTAATTCATTGTGATTAGCATCCAAAATGTATCCATATGACTTTTTTTTTTTTTTTTGCGGTACGCGGGCCTCTCACTGTTGTGGCCTCTCCCGTTGCGGAGCACAGGCTCCGAATGCGCAGGCCCAGCGGCCATGGCTCACGGGCCCAGCCGCTCCACGGCATGTGGGATCCTCCCGGACCGGGGCACGAACCCATGTCCTCCGCATCAGCAGGCAGACTCTCAACCACTGCGCCACCAGGGAAGCCCCTATCCATATGACTTTTAATAGGTATGTTTCATAAGTCTGCTAACCAATAGCTGCCAGTTACCTCCTTTTATTCTTATTTATTTGTTGAAGTTGCTGGTTCACTTGTCCATTAGAATAGATCTCATTCCAAATTTGGTTTCTTGCACCTTTCTGATTTAGTGTACTTACCCTTCTCCCATCTTTCCTGTAAACTAAATATTGAAGAGATGGATAATTGGGGTCTGCTCCTGGCAGACAGGCATGTAATGGTAACACTTGGAGATACACAAATATGACAGATGTGTGATGGTGACACACCTGGAAATGTGGTGTGACAGTGTGTTTTGCTAGCACACTGAAGCAGTCTAGAAACACACAAATATTTCAGGTACTAAATGTACCAGGTGTGTAGTGATACTGCAGCACAATCTAGAGTCGTACACATATATTTGGGGATTGTATGTGATGGGTTTGTGATATACCTAAATACAACCTTGGAATCTTCCCACATACCCTTGGGACAGTGTGTGACATGTTGGGATGTTAGCACTCTTCAACACAGCCAGGACCCAGACACATATACCACATCCATAAAGAAAAAATGTGTGACAGACATGAGACACATTCAACTGACATGCAAAACACACCAATGATCTGTGAGACAGGGTGGGGGTACTGACACACCACAGCAAGTATGGTGACACAAATACTCTATGGAGACTTGTGAGACAGGCATGTGATAGGGGTGCCCCAATGCCTGGTGTATAGGCCACATGCTGCCATCACACAGTTTTCATGGATTGAATGTGATGAGACAGGAACCCCCTGGCTTGGAGAGAACAAAACTCCCTCCATCATGATGTACTAATGGGGGTCAGAACAGGGAGCCAGAGTGCACGTCTCGGCACAACCTAGAGACTTGCCCACATTTGATGATTGGATGTGAGCACAATGGGACACATGGTGGGAAGAGAATAGCTTGAACCAAGTAGCAGAAGCCTTTGCTTTGAAATGCCTGCTGGGAAGGCCTGGAAGTAGCAATCTGACCAGGGCAGTAGGGCGAGGACTTTACAGGTCTTACAGGAAGAGTCAGCCTGCATTCAGCCAGTTTGGGAATCACTGGTCAAAGGTGGTTCTAGGAGAGGTAGGGAATGTTCTTGCGGATTAGCAGTCATTGTTGGGCATTTTGCATTTTACCCAGAGGGGTAGGTATGAGCAATCAGGGCTAAGGTCACATGCAAGAAGGTACATGGAGGTACCCACACATATGAGGGCCACATTGAAAATTCTCAATCCTTCAGAGCCTCTCCCAACATCCACAATATTAACAGTGATAATGAAGTGACAGCTGAATATTGAGACATGGCGGGGGGTACCCTGAACTGGCATTTGAGGGATGACCAACAGTACCTTGGAGATGAATCATTGCATGTGGCAATGAGAGCAAGGGGTGCATCTGGGTGACACCAGTGGCCCTGTTAGGGATGCCCTGGAGGTGGTGACCCCATCCATGGAAACAGCTTTCAAGTGAGGGTAGAAAGTTTTTGGAAAGGGCCGCTCATAGAAGAGGGGCTAGGGAGTCCAAGGTAGAGGTGTTGCAATGTGGTTAATTAATGGTCTGAGGCTCAGCAGATAATCCGCGCAGGGGAGGAATCTGGGAGTCCCAGCCTAAATGGGGGCATGAACAGGTCTTGGGGAAGAGAGGTAAAGGTATTTACAGCTCAGGAGCTGTAATAATGATATAAAATGTTCAATTAAAAGCAGAGAAGGCAGGAAAAAGAGGGAAATATTAAGAAAAGAACAAGTAGAAAACAGTTATAAATACATTATTAATCCAACTATATCGATAATTACTTTAAATGTGAATGGCCTAAATATACTAACTGTAGAGATGGAAACTTCAGGATGGATTTAAAAAAAAAAGACCCAACTGTATATTATCTACAAGAAACCCATTTTAAATATAAAGACACTGACAGGTTAAAAGTTAAGGGATAGAGAAAGCTACACCATATTATCACTAAATCAAAAGAAAGTAGGAGTAGCTATATTAATATCAGACTTCAAAGCAAGGGAATTTTTCAGGGAGGTATTACATACTGATAAAAAAGTCAGTTCTCTAAGAAGATATAACAACCCTTAATGTGGATGTTCCTAACAACAGAGCTTCAAAATATGTGAAGTAAAGAACACTTAAACTCAACAGTAAGAAAACAAACAACCCAGTTGAAAAATGGGCAAAAGATCTGAACAAATACCTTACCAAAGAAGATATAGATAGGGCAAACAAGCATATAAAAAGATGTACATCAGATGCCATTAGAGATTGTAAATTAAGAAATTAATGAGATACCCACACACGTCTATTAGACTGAATAAATTTTTAAAAACCTGATAATACCTAATTCTGGCAAGTATGTAGTGCAACAGGAACTCTCATTCATTGCTACTGGGAATGCAAAATGGTATAGCTATTGTTATGGGTCCCCTCACCCCACAAATCATGTATTAAAGCCCTAGCCCCCAGTGTGACTATATTGGGAGACAGGGTCTTTAAGGAGTTAATTAAAGTTAAATGAGGGCAGAAGGGTAGAGCACTAATCCAATAGGACTGGTGTCTATATTAAAAGAGGAAGAGATACCAGATCTGTCTCTCTCCCTCTCTATGTGTGCACACAGAGGAAGGCCATGTGAGCACAGAACAAGAAGGCAGCCATCTGCAAGCTAGGGAGAGAGCTCTCATAGAAACTGAATTTTCTGATGTCTTGATCTTGGAATTCCAGCCCCCAGGGGTGTGAGAAAATAAATTTTTGTTGTTTAAGCCACCCAGTCTGTGGTATTTTGTTATGGTAGCCCGAGCCGACTAATGCAGCCACTTTGCAAGACAGTTTGGCAATTTCTTAAAAAGTTAAACATAGTCTTGCCATATGATCCAGCAGTCATGCTGCTATGTATTTACTCTATTGAGTTGAAAACTATGTCCACACAAAAACTTGCACATGAATCCAGCCTTATTCATAATTTCCCAAAACCAAAAGCAAGATGTCATTCTATATGTGACTGGACTAAAACAACAACAGTGATAACACACACACACAAAATAAAACAAACAAAACAAAACTGTGGTATATACATACAATGGAATTCAGTGATTTTTTTTTTTTTTTTTTTTTTGCAGTACGCGGGCCTCTCACTGTTGTGGCCTCTCCCATTGTGGAGCACAGGCTCCGGACGCGCAGGCTCAGCAGCCATGGCTCATGGGCCCAGCTGCTCCGCAGCATGTGAGATCCTCCTGGACTGGGGCACGAACCCATGTCCCCTGCATCGGCAGGTGGACTCTCAACCACTGCGCCACCAGGGAAGCCCCTCAATGATTTTTTAAAATGAGCTGTCAAGTCACAAAAGACATGGAAATATTTGTCTTTCTCCATCTGCTTTTTTCACTTAGCATAATAATACCATTCATGTTGCAAATGATAGGATTCTATTCTTTTTTATGTCTGAGTAGTATTCCATTGTGTATATATACATATTCTTTATCCATTCATCCATTGATGGAATTTAGGTTGTTTCTGTATCTTGGCTATTGTACATAGTGCTGCAATGAACATATAGGTGCATATATCTTTTCAAATTAGTATTTTTGTGGTTTTTGGATAAGTACACAGGAATGGAATAGCTGGGTCATATGGTAGCTCTATTTTTTCTTTCTTT